CATTGCACAAGGAATCTCCACAAAAATCATATCACATTCTGGGCATGTGTGTTATGAAAGTGAGGAGGGGTGGTAGTTTTGTTTTGTTGTATCTGTAAAAGAGGCATTCCACAGCTGCCCATGTTAGGAATCTTCTCCTCCGGGGATTCACACAACGTTGCAAATGCAGTCAACCGAGTCAACGTGCCACCAATGCTGCAGCGGACACATCACGCGAGCTGCATCCTCCTTTTTTCATCCTCACCGCACACACCTCTCCTACCAAGGCAACTTTCTCATACAGCTGTTACAAATCAGTGACACACAGCGGAGGTGACATTTTATTTCCTTGTGTGCATGAGGAAGATAAATCAAACTGCTGAAGCGTTTCACTTTTATCTGTCTTGACACTGACAGCCCAGGAAGGCAATTTTTTTTTTTACATTTATATATATTTTTTCGACGTACAAGTGTGCTAATCCTGACTCTCCAAAGCAGGCGGAATTATATTCAATCCCAGTTCTCACTTCAGCGACAAAGTCATCTCATCACAGTATTACAGATGGCCTGGCTGCATTAGCAGGTCTGATATGGGCATTCAGGGGCCAGTTAGAAGCAGCTGAAAAATGTCTCCATTTGGTGTCGCTGCCAGTAACTAGTTCACGTAGAGCCCCTTATCCACAGGTTCGGTTCTTGTAGGACAGAGGGTTTGCAGGAGTTTGCAAACAGCAGCTCTAGGACCACATGCGGCTCTTTGGTTCTTCTGCCATTGCCTAGAAGAAATATGGTGTAGAATTAAAAGAATAGAAAATGAAGAAGCAGGTAAAGATACTGGATGGATGGATAGATGCTGCTATTGGTGGTGTATTGTTTTGTTCTATTTGTAACTAGTGTATATCTTAGTTTATATCTTAGATCCTTATTTACTGTTTCTTTTTACACTTTATATTTTGCTATTGTTGGATGTAACTGGGACCCTGTGTACATATTTTCATTCCACCTCATGTACTTGTGTGAACTCATGTTCATGTGATGCAAATGACAATAAAGAACCTTGAACCTGGGATAGATAGATAGATAGATAGATAGATAGATAGATAGATAGATAGAT